CTAGCACCCACATGGCAGCTGACAATGACCTGTAACTCAAGTCACAGGGGATCCAGCATCCCTTTCTGGCCTCCATAGGCACCTGCACATACACAGTGCACCTACATGCACTCAGACACACACACACATACACATAAAAATCTTTAAACAAATCTTTAAAAAATAAAAAAAATTTAAAGCACCAAAAAAACAAGACAATCACAAATTAATTTATGATAGGTCACAGGTATAATATCCTAAGTGATTCCAATGTATTTAGCTTATTTGTATGGTTTTAACAATTAAAACATCATTTAAAATATTTGTTTTATTTTTAATTATGTGTATGTATGTGCTTGTCTGTGGGTATGTGCATGTGTCTGAAGAGGGAATCAGATTCCCTGGAGCTGGACATACATGTCATAAGCCATCCCATGTGTATGTTGAGAACCAAACTCAGAGAAGAGCAACATGTGCTCTTAACTGCTAAGCCATTGCTCTAGGCCAAAACACCAGTTTTTGGAGATGGCAATGTTAAATTGCAATGAAAACCTGCTCACCTGGTGTAATACATCATGGCCTCTTCATAATCTCCTGAACGAAAAGCCTCATTTCCTTTTTCCTTCTCACGACAAGCAAGAAAAACTTTTTCTTTCTCAGTTAGACCTAGAAATAAATATTATTTAATATATGTGAAAATAGAATTTAAAATATTTTTTTGGTCTTTTTGAGACAGGGTCTCCCTGTAGCCCCAGCTGTCCTAGAACTCACTATGTAGACTAGCCTAACCTTGAACTCACAGAGATCTGCCTGCCTCTGCCTCCCGAGTGCTGGGATCAAAGGCATGCACCACCACGCCTGGCTTAAAATAATTTTCAAAAAGCTTAAATCAAGCATGCTTTCTTTGGCACAGTCCTAGGAACAGAACCCAGGGCCCCAGGAACAGCAGACAAACACTCCACCACCGAGTTGCATTCCCAGGCCCCAAGAACCTATTTTAACTGGAGCAGAAAGTAGCAAATTAAGCAAAACAAAATTTAAAATTTCCTGAGTGTAGGGATATTTCTTCTTTTCTCATCTGTCACATTTTTTTCGAGGAGCTAGTTTTCTTATTAGTTGTGTTTTATTTACAGGTCATCTGTGGTCAAATGAAAAACTGTCTCATCTTACTGCTGTGAGGCAAATAGAAAAAAAAAGGGGGTTTTTTGTTTTGTTTTATTTTTATAAAAGAGTAGATTGAAAAAAGGAAATGAAAACAAATGTTCTAAGAAAATGGGTTTAAATGTCAATGTCTTACAAATCACATTATTAAAGCCAGGCATGTTGGCACACACCTGAATCCCAGCATTTGAGAAGTACACGCAGGGGGATCAGGAATTCAAGATCATATTCAACGGCATGCTGAGTTTGAGACCAATCTAGCTACATAAAACCCTGTCTCAAAAAGCCCAAACAATCCCAACAACAACAACAACAACAAAATTACATTATTAGAACTATTATTCACATAAAATGAAGTAATTAGGGTTGGGGTGCGGTTCCATTGGTTGAGTGCCTGCATCGCACGCAAGAAGCCCTAGGTTCCATCACCAGCACCACATGAAACTAGGTGTGGTGGCACACACCTGTAATCCCAGCACTTGGGAGGTGGAGCCAAGAGGACCAGAAGTTTAAGGTCATCCCTCAACAGCATAGTAAGTTCAATGTCAGCCTAGACTACATGGTACCCTGTCTCAAAATTTTTTTTTTGAGTAATTAAAGATAGAAATAAATTTCTTAGGAGTGGCCAACTTTGGGAGAAAAATCTATAAATGGTAATGGTAATCTATAGTGTTATGATAGATAATGTGGTTATAGATAATCTATAGATAATGTTCCCTTCATTGATAAGTTTCTATTATAATTTAAAAAATTTGAAGATGACTAAATTATTCCTATTTCTCTTTTACCTGCTGTCTCTATTCTTGTTTCTAATTTAGATAGATGAGCCTTGTTGTCTACTATGGTCTTTTCTTTGTAATCTTCATCCAGTTTTAAACATTCCTTTTCCACATCAAATCTGAAATGAAAAAAACAACAAAAACAAAAAAAGCACGACGCAAGCAGGAAAATAGAATCCATCACTGCTATCCTTGTACTTGAAACACACATTGAACATCTCTCAGTCTGAAATGTTTGGAACAAGAACTATAAACGGAGTTGTGGGTTTTTTTCAAATTTTGGTATTTGCACATACTGAATGAGATCTATGGGTAATCTGCAAGTCAAAGCACAGCAACTCATTCCTGCTTAACATACACCTTATACACAGACCCTAAGCAGAATTTAATGCAATATTTTAAATAATTTTGGATGATATGGAATTTTCCACTGGTGGTGACCTGTCAGTGCTGAAAGAGTTTCAGATTTAGGAGCTTTCTGAATTTTGGATCTTTGGATTATTGATGTTCAACCTGCACTGAGTGTCCAGGCATATATATGAAATATGCACAATAGGTTTGTTCCTAAAGTTACCGGCATTCTTCTTGAGAAGACATGCAGTTAAGGGAAGACTTAAATAGCAGTCAGATCTAACCTGTTCTAGATGTTGTAATTAAAACTGTCGCTAATTTTCCTCCATTTAAAACATTCGTACCTTTTAAATTTGGACAAGTATAAGGGTGACAATAGTTATTTGTGGTTGTTTTATAAGTTAAAGGGTGCAGTAGGTTTTTTTATTCATGAAAAAAAAAGATTAAAAGTGCTTAAACTAGCCAGCTGTGGTAGTACATGCCTACAAATCCCAGCAATCGGGAGACTGAGAAAAGATTTCTGGATTTGAGGCCAGCTTGGGTTCCATAGTGAGACCCTGTCTAAAAGAAATAAAGGGGAAAAGGTGTTTTAGCAAAACGGTAATTTTGCTAAGGAAGTTTGGTACAGTTTGTGTATTCAAGTTTATAATAATATTTAAAATTATAATAGTTCATGGTAGAAAATTTTCAGTGACAATTTTTATATAAAGAAACAGAAAACATACTTATCCCAGTCTGCATAGTCCCTTGGAATTTTCTTTTTAGCTGGTCTACCTTTTGAATACTTTTCCTGAAAGAATAAAATCATACTTCATGAGACACATTAAGATCACCAGGATGCACTGTGAATGCAACATGAACAACTGAAGTAAGATATACAAATTGAATGGATCAGAAAAATAGGTCCCCCTGGGGTTAAGGCAACTTCAGTATCATAATAAAACACCCCACGTAAAAGAAAGGGTTTTTAATTTGTAGTTAATTCTGGGGGTAATCAAGAATTTTACATATATATGTAAAATATATAATGTGAAAACTCACATGTGATCATTAATGATTTTCTTATACTAAAAATGTACTAAACTTATTCAATCTTACATCCTAGGCATTTGGAGAAACAAGAAAAACTACTTTGCTATATTAGAACTGTTTTGTTTGTATGATAGACAACCAACTTGGACAAAAGCCATCTACAAAAGATAAATCATTGGCTTATGTAACCAAACTGATGATAAGCAGGTGATGTTAGAGAAAGGCTTTCCAATGTCTGCTCTCTGGCTTCTCCTGTCTACCCCATACTCTGAGCTCTCTGCCTGCTGATTTCATTTTCTTGACAGCCACCTGTTTCCTCCAAGTGGTAGGAGACATGCCCATAACAGTCTGGGATTATAGCCTGACAGGCCTCAGGGGGCAGGGGGTGGGGGGATTCTGACTCTCCTCTTTCTCATCAGTTAGAGAAACCCCAGGGAAGGGTCTGAGCAGCTAGCTCAGGTGCAGAGTGGTCCAAACTAGGTCCCAGCCCCATGATGGGGTATGCAGGTTCTATACCAGAAGGAAACAGGAAGGAAGATAATAGCCATTATATCAGAAATACTCAATCTCCCAGAACAGGTCATACAGTGTTACCCTAGATATGTACAAAGAGACTGGCACGAGGGAAGCCGCCACATAGAGACAAAGGTAGAGACTAGAGTTCAGCTGCCACAGCCAAGGAGAACCTGTGATTCCAGAAATTGGAAGAGCAAGGGGTGATCCTCCTCTACAGGTTCAATCGGAGCATGGCCCTGCCAATACCTTGATTTTTGTACTTCTGGCCTCTTCAACTGTAAAATAAATACTATATTTCTTTTGTTTTAAGCCAAGCATTTTTTTAGAAAACAAACACCAGTGGTTATCTTATTTTTAAAAAGGAACTGATTAGAAATTTGGAGTACTGAGATTCAAGAGATGGTCCAGTAGTTAAGAGCACTAGCTGCTCTTACAGAGGACCTGGGTTCAGTTTCCAGCACCCACAGAGCAGAAATCTGATGACTTCTTTTGGCCTCAGTGGGCATTGTATGCACGGGTGCACTTACATACATTCAGGCAAAACACTCATACACCTAAAATTAAATAAATAAATAAATAAATAAATAAATAAATAAATAAATAAATAAAATGAAATAAAGTAAAATAAAATTCAGGTGCTCAGGTGTACTAGCTATAGTTCAAGTACTAAGTCCCACCTGTTGCTAGTGGCTACTCTATCAGACAATGAGCCCCAGATCAGTGAAAGGGGCTAGGTGGAGGGTGAGAGGGGGGGTGGGAAAGAAAGAGAGAGAGAGAGAGAGAGAGAAACAGACAGACAGACAGAGAGACAGAGAGAGGGAGAGAGAGAGAGGAGAGAGAGAGGAGAGAGGGAGAGAGAGAGAGAGAGAGAGAGAGAGAGAGAGAGAGAGAGAGACTAGAATATAGTTCAGTTGGCAGAGGGCTTGCCTCGCATTCATGAAACCCTGGATTCCATCCCTAGCACCACATAAAATAGGTATGCTGGCATAGGCCTGTAATCTCAGCATTCAGAAAATAGAAGAAAGAGAATTAGGAGTTCAAGGTCATCTTCAACTTTATTGCTAAAACATTCATAACTCTTCATTCCTCTGCTGTCTGATAATTTATGTCTCTAGACTTTTTCACTCATTAGGAATTATACAAGTAGTGGGGGAAGCCACCATCTATAATCAACAAATGCATATTCATTAATGAAGCACTATGGGCTAAGTCTGTGCCCTAAAAATATAACAATGTATCATACTTGATCTTTGCCTTCAAAGAGTTTATAATTCACTGGAATAGACAGATTAGTGGCTCAATGATTCTCAGTTTGAATTCCAGGGAATGCAAAAAGTCAATGCTTTTGTTTGGTTGGTTGTTTTCCTTTCTTTCTTTGAGATAGAGTCGTTCTATGTTGCCCAGACTAGCCTGTAATTCTTGGATTCAAATGCTCCTCCTGCCTCAGCCTCCTGAGCAGCTGGGTCTACAGGTGTGCAGCTCTGCACCTGGCAGTGCTGTTTGTAATACTGTTAGTGCTTTGTCTTTCCCATTCTGTTGACATTTTCACTAAGAGGTAAGGCTGCTGTGGCTCAGTATGAATCAAAGCAGAGGCAAAATTTGCTAGTATACATGGTGGAAAAAATCCAATTAAAACTTAAAAATACCTTTGATGAAAGAGTAAATTATGTTTTTTAAATCTTGAACTTTGAGGACATGTCATTTTAGTATTTTTTGTGACAAACCAAGAAGTATGCATAAAATCCTATACTGAGTAGGAAACAGAAGTTCACTGTGTATGTTAACAAAAGCACTTGTGGTCTTGCAAGATGGCTCAGCAAGTACAGGTGCCTGCCACCAAAACTAATGATCTGAGTTTGATCCCAGGGACCCACATGTGCACCCCCCCAAATACACACACACACACACACACACACACACACACACACAAAAGAATAAATAAAGAAAAACACTTGGAGTCTAGTGGACATTTTGTTTAAAATGAGCAAATGGATCTTTGTCACTCTAAAGAAACCAGTAACAGGCTGGGCGTGGTGGCACACACCTTTAATCCCAGCACTTGGGAGGCAGAGGCAGGCAGATCTTTGTGAGTTCGAGGCCAGCCTGGTCTACATAGTGAGTTCCAGGACAGCTGGGGCTACAAGGAGACCCTGTCTCAAAAAGACAAAAAAAAAAAAAAAGAAACCAATAACAATATTTATTTTCCAGTGAGAAAATCCAAGCTTCCAAGTGCAAATCAGGGTTTTAATATTCACATGCATTTATCAAATACCCACCTGTTACAAAATATGTCCCCCTAAGTAGGATATTTATCAAAAGATGAAATCATACAAATTACTTGACTTTTATTAGAAAGACATGAAATAGAGTGCTATCTCTTCTAAAAATGTAAGAAAATTCTTCCACTAGACATGGCAGAGTAGTTGGTTTTTATTAGGTGTCTGGAACAAGGGCAAATTTGTTGACATCAGGCCACTGTCCTTTTATGGGTTCAAACAGAGGAGCTTATCCTATCTGTCAAACAAAATTGGCCTGTTGGGGATTCAGCTATTATCTTTTCCTTCCCAGTGTCCAGAGGACTTAGATTCCATTCGTGATATGGAAATTTAGCCTGAGTGACACCATTTTGGTTTGGTCTGTTTGGGCCTAGTACAGGAACTCATTTCAAGTCACTTTTTATATTACATGTTTTTTGTTTGTTTTTGTTTTTGTTTTTTTGTGTGTGTGCATGTGTGTGTGTGTGTGTGTGTGTGTGATAGCACAAGTGTGGAGGTCAGATAACAACCTATGGGAGTTGGTTTGTCTCCTACCATGTGGATCCTGGGGATCAAACTCAGGTCATCAGGCTTAGCAGCAAGTGGCTTTACTCCTAGGCAATCTTACTGGCCCTCCTATCATTTTTATTTAGCATCCTTGGAAGACTTTTCTGATGAGCTCCATTCGGGATATTAGTACTGTGATTTTTTTTTTTTTTAGACAGGGTCTCATGCAGGCTCTCAAGGCTGGCCTTGAACTTGATATGTAGCTGATGATGACTTTGGACTTCTGATCCTCTTGCTTCCAACTCCCTAGTGTGAGATTATAGGCTTGTACCACCATACTGGGTTTAGGCAATGTGACTTTTAATTGTATAATGAAATGTGTGAATGTTTGGAAGATCTGCATAACTTTTAATGACCTTTACTTTTCAGAAGTGTAATACCAAAAAGTCTGAACCATATGGACATGGTATGCTATGTTTTAGACAGTAATAAGAGGATACTATGGAAACACATGGAAGGTATCCTAGTCTTTCAGAGTCAAGGAGCATCTCCTTTTTCATAGAAGAATATAACACAGTGTAGTATATTTTGTACTGTGTACTTAGTCTGTGTCTTAAATCTTTTTACACATTTTTAAAATGTTTTTATATGTGTATGTGTATATGCTATGTATATAATATCTGTGTTAGTGTGTGTTAGTGTATGTGTACAAGTATGTGCAGGTGCCTGAAGAGGTCAGAAAAGGGCATTGGATCTCTTGGAGCTGGAGATGCAGACATTTGTAAGCCATGTGATATGGGTGTCACTGAACTCTGGTCCTCATGATTGGCAAGATATTGTAAAATGATTAGTACAACTGATCTAGTTTATGCTATTTTTTTTACTTGGAATTTTATTTATTTATTTATTTAATTTATTTATTTATTTTTGAGACAGTCTCATATGTAGCAGATTGGCCTTAAAGTTCAAGATTTAAAAAACATAATTTACTCTTTCATCAAAGGTATTTTTAAGTTTTAATTGGATTTTTTCCACCATGTATACTAGCAAATTTTGCCTCTGCTTTGATTCATACTGAGCCACAGCAGCCTTACCTCTTAGTGAAAATGTCAACAGAATGGGAAAGACAAAGCACTAACAGTATTACAAACAGCACTGCCAGGTGCAGAGCTGCACACCTGTAGACCCAGCTGCTCAGGAGGCTGAGGCAGGAGGAGCATTTGAATCCAAGAATTACAGGCTAGTCTGGGCAACATAGAATGACTCTATCTCAAAGAAAGAAAGGAAAACAACCAACCAAACAAATATAGCATTGACTTTTTGCATTCCCTGGAATTCAAACTGAGAATCATTGAGCCACTAATCTGTCTATTCCAGTGAATTATAAACTCTTTGAAGGCAAAGATCAAGTATGATACATTGTTATATTTTTAGGGCACAGACTTAGCCCATAGTGCTTCATTAATGAATATGCATTTGTTGATTATAGATGGTGGCTTCCCCCACTACTTGTATAATTCCTAATGAGTGAAAAAGTCTAGAGACATAAATTATCAGACAGCAGAGGAATGAAGAGTTATGAATGTTTTAGCAATAAAGTTGAAGAGTCAAGGTAAGATGAGGAGTCAGCAAGATGGTTCAGTTGGTAAAAGCACTTATAGCCAAACCTGAAGGTTCAATCCTCAGAGTCCACCGAGTGAAATTACCAACTCCTACAAATACCAACTCCTGCAAGGTATCCTCTGACCTTCACACACATACTATGGCATGAACATGCCTACACACCCTCAAACCCTTACATCACACTCTGGCTGCTCTGATTAGACAGAGATAGTCCTCCACCCTTGCCCATCAGCCCCACCCCATACCAAAAAGGCCTACCCACCCCCCACCCCCATAATAAAGGCCTACCTTCCCCATGTGAGGACAACTGTTTGAGCTTCGAACTGGAGGTAAATGATCTTCCACTCTTGAATGTGTTTCAGTGTCATGAAAGTGCATTGTATTTTCTTCTTTTTTAATTTCTGATACCCAGCTCTGAGAAGCATAGAGAAATAAAAAGGTAACTATATGGTTCAAGTTAACCATGCATTAGAAAGAACATTTCATAGTTTCTTTTCCGAGTCTACTTTTCAGGTGAAAATTTGATGCCATTCTATCTGGAATGCCCTTTATGATTTAATTCTGATAAATAACTACAACATGAAATTTACATGAACCATATTTAGTGTATAGTTCAATCTCATTAAGAATATTGGGGCCAGTGAGATGGCTCAGTGGGTACTTGCTACCAGGCCTGATGGACCTGAGGACCTACATGGTGGAAGAAGAGAACTGACTCCTGCAAACTGTCCTCTGACCCATTATTTTTCTATGGGATTTTTATGGGGTAGAGTTTTTTTTTTTGTTTGTTTGCTGTTGTTGGAGACAAGGTCTTACTATGTAGCCCTGGCTAGTCTGGAATCTGCCTGCCCCTACCTCCCAAATGCCAGGATTAAAGGTATACACCATTATGGATGGAAAGAGTGTATTTTTTTGAGACAGGTCAAAGCTGGCCTTAAACTCTCTATATGTAGCCAAAGATGATCTTGAGCTCCTGACCCACCTGCCTCCACCTCCCAAGTGCCGGGATTGCAAGGATACCCCATCAAGTACAGCACTGGGGGGAGGAAGGGTTGGATTTTTGAGACAGAGTCTTGCTATAGCTCAGGCTGGCCTAGAACTCTCAATTTTCCTGACTGCCTCCCAAGTGCTGGGTTTACAGCTATGCACCACCAAACCTGGCTATTTATCTTGCAAGGTTTTACTAATCAAACTTTCCCTGGACTAATCAAAGTGTCCTTGAATTTGGTGGTTGGGCTACAGTACTGCTTCTCCACACACACACACAGATTTTAGGGTGTCTGTTTATTGTCAGTCTCTCCTCATACTGTGACTTTGTATACAACAGTGGCCATGTCTTAATTTCATCTTCATCTGGCACATACTAGGCACATACAGGAACTATATAGCTGCATGTGGTCCTGAACTCCCCAGCCTCCTGCCTCCAGCCTCCTGCCTCCACCTCCCAAGTGCTGTGATCATAGGCATGCACCACCACGCCTGGCTCACATGTTGGGTTTTAAATTATTTAT